AAAAAATCACTTTCATATTAAGACAATCTTGCCTAAAAATTATGTCAAGTGTTATCCCTATACTGAAGATTAATATGCGATCAAAATCTTATTTTTGATTCAAGGGGTCCCGAAACTCGATTTTCCTAGCAAAGGCCCCATTTGGTAACGTATTGTACTTAAAATATAAGTCAAATAAAGAGTTATTTTTAATAAAAAAAATTGAAATTGAAATTAAAAATTTAATTAGGGTTCAACAGAGCTGGCCGCCTCAACACTGGCTTCAATGGTAATTATCATATTTACAGTATAGAACTGATTGATTTGTTAATTAGTGGGTCAAATGGTCTCTGGTTAGGTTAGTGAGGTCATATTATCAAATGGCATTTTGATTATATTTATAGTTTAGTACTAGCTTGTTAAAGCTTATGTTGTAAATTACATGACCCACATGTTAATTACGAATACAAAATGCTAAAGAAGGCTTTAATGTTGATTTTGGTTAGTATTAAAGGGAATAGCTACACGTAGATTAATATAGATGCTAAAACAAGCATTTTAAACCATTTCAGGCGTTACTATGTAACGTAATACATGTAGTTTAATAACCTTATTTAGTATATCTCATAAAAAAAGAAAATTTCACAGGACAATTCTGGGCCGAAATATTATGGTAGGGGTTTGAATTAACAATTTGTGCAAACGCAAAATGCCATATGAGAATTTTACTATTACAATATGGAATTTTGGGAAAATTCCCAGATAAAATCTGTCATACTCATCACAAAGACGCTTCAGGGAAACAATCTGACATGTACATATTGAGTTCATGAATTTTATAATGGAAGATATATATATATATATATTATATATGAAATATATAAATATTTTTATTCTCAACAAATTTTGCAAACTATTTATTGCCTAACTAATAATATTTTTAAACGATTAGGTTTTTTATATAACATATATATCAGTTATGTATGGTGCAGCGACGGCGCTTGATACCCTTTGTTCGCAAGCTTATACATCTGGTAAAATGAAAATGGCCGGAGTATATTTACAACGTGCCATTATCATAAATTTGTTAGGATTTATCCCGATCGCTTGTATTTGGTGGGAATCAGAAAAGATCCTAATCTTCCTTTGCCAACCCCCGAAATTTCTGCACAAGCTGCTTTATTTCTCGGATATTTGTTGATTGGAGCTCCTGCATATTTGATGTTCGTAAATTTGGAGATATATTTACTAGCCCAAGGTAACGTTAAATCACATATTATTAATTAATTATTTATTTAATATCTAATATTAATGAATTGACACACGTAATACACGTAATCAATACGTAGGGATAATGAATGCCATTACATATGTATTAATAATCTGTTGTATAATTGACGTATGCTTGAATTTCATGTTAGTTTGGTATAAACCACTATCACTTGGCTTTATTGGAGCACCTATTTCCACAGCTATTACCTATTGGTTAATGTTTTTCTTTCTTGTCCTTTATACTAAATTCATTGATGGATATCAAGCCTGGGATGGATGGTCACATGCTGCATTTCATGGTTGGAAACCTATCCTTAAATTAATGATTCCTGGTATCTTTATGGTCTGTTCGGAGTGGTGGGCACTTGAACTTATATCTTTTCTTGCTGGATATCTTGGTGAACTTTCACTTGCATCCCAGGGCATAATATCTACTATAATTACTATTGCATATCAATTACAATATGGAGTCTCTATATCAGCATCAAATCGTGTTGGAAATTTATTGGGTGCTGGTTTAGTAGAAAGGGCCAAAATGGCTTCAAAACTTTCTATGCAATTCGCTATTATTATTGGTTTATTTAATGCAGCAATCATTATAAGTTTCAAGGATATTTTGGGGTTAAGTTGCAATTAAATTATATAATTTAGTTTAATTTCTGTACATTTACTTATATAATTTATTCGTAAATTATTTCTATTATAGATACATATTCACCTTTGATGATGATGTAGTCAAATGTACGTCTTATGTCTTATTATTGATTGGCATTTTTGAGGTATCCAATTATTCAATTATATTTACTTAAATATCAATGAATATACATATTATCAGTTGATATTAATAAGTTTATTTTTTTTTACGCTTTATAAAAGATAGCTGATAGTATAAACGCAATCGGATGTGGGCAAGGCCGACAATTTATTGTCGCAATTTTTAGCACACCTGGATATTTCTTTGTAGGAATACCTATCAGTATACTTGCAGCTTTTAAATTAGGATATGGATTAAAAGGTCTTTGGTTTGGAGTGATGATATGTTCATTTATAGTTTGTATTATTATTATTACTATTATTTGTAGAACTGATTGGCAACGATAATTGGAGGATTGTAAAAGGCGAATGAAAGAAGATAGGGATAAAATTGAATCTATGATTATCAATGACCCTGATGTTTAATGTTAGCTTAATTCTGAAATTTATACATGCGTACTAGTAAAATTAATATTTCCATTCTATTTCAAGATTTACAACCCCTTTTTTTTTAATTGATCCGATAATAAATAAACTTTGGTTTTTAATATTAAAAGTTAAAACGATAATGCATCGATCTTTTCTATTATTTATAAATGTTAAACATAATTTCTTTGGTAAAATTTAATCAATAACCCTAAGGAAAATTTTTATACTCTTAGGGTGCATTTATATACTCCTAAAGTATTATTTATAATTGATTAAATAATTGATCGGCTATTAGTATTAGCCGAATAAACCGATCGGCTAACTGGCTAAGAGTCGATAACCGATCGTAGTCGACTGTAGTCGACCGAACCCATCCCTACGGTTAACAACTAAGGAACCTTTGGCTTGTTCGTCATAGTAAACATTTTTAAAACGCCTAGCTTGTCTGAACAACTACTGTAGAACCTGAAATATCTAACTTTGTCTGAAGTAATGGCAGCTGAATCTAATATAATATTCAACTTATCTGAAGCGCATAAATAAAATATTGTATCGATATACATTACAGCATTATCAATGCCATTAGCAAGATATACACATTATTACGTAATCGGTCATTACCGAAATTAAAAACTTTTTGCATTGGTCTTATGTGACAACCGGTGTTTTTCATTTACATAGTTACGTCAGACATCGTGTAATAACTATAAATTGTCGAATCGGCTAAACATTCTTTCGGTCAATTTTTACTAGATGTCCCAAAATTTATGAGAACAGCTGTAATTACTATTTCCGGAAGCGTATCCGTCTCAATTTAATTATATATAAATCACAATTAATGTAACCCGGATTATTTCAATTTGAACATTCGTGAAATACTTTTAAATATTTTTCCCAAATTGTAACGATTAAAATACCAATTAATAAATAAAAGAATCGACAAATGACCGAAATCTTTCGTCGTGTTCTGAATGATGGAGAGCAAAACCTATGACTATTGATGAAGCATAAGAAAACTAACTTTCATGTGAGCTTGTGTATAAGTTATTTTGTATGAAGACTTTTATAAAAAAAAAGGCCATCATCAATTTAATACTTACCATTTTCATACAGATAATGAAGTGACATTTTTCTGGAAAAATTGATTCAATATTGATTAGAGATGCTGCTGAAACTAATTTACCAATTCAACACCAATTACAAATAGTGTGAACTATTTCACCACTCTAAATTTATTTCAATAGTATCTTTAATATCGATGTCTCCAAAGTTCATTATAAAGAAGCACCTGTATTTGATATTTCAATGGTCGGTTAAATAAATTCGTCAAAGGCTCGTCAATCCTCAAAACAATTATCAAACATCAAAGTTTGTCATGAATATTTAATTAGTAAAGATTCTTATAAATTATTTTTACTATGTTTATTTATTTATTTATATTTTTTAGTGTCAATCTTCTTTGTAATACCAAAAAAGCCAAACTTACTTCGACCTGTGATGAATTTTTTTAAATAGAAAAAATTGAAATCAATAACGATAACAGATAAATAAAGAATCTATTTTCGTAAACTTTAACATTCAAAATATAATTTATAGATGTGCAGTAGTTAATGCCAAATCCAGAAGCTAAATATTATATAATACTACTGTAACACGCAATTTGAACTTCCAACTATTAAATTATTTTAACCTTCTGGATAATCTAATTTATATCTAGCTACTGTTGCACAACTGGTATACGTTTTCCGGTATTAAAACCGATTTACCGTATCTTCTTATAACGTTGAAATAAAAACTAGAGTAGCAAGCGCGGATAGCTTGCTACCCAGTCTTAATTGATAGTTGTGAAGATATAATAAAAAATCTGTAATTGGTAAATGTTATTTTAAATTCGGTTACTAAACCATTGGATCGAGAAACATATTAGGATTTAGTTCAGTAAGCAAAAATTTTACAAGACACTCTTTAAATCATATTTAGTATCAATTATTGCAAAAGTAAAATTTTTTGTATTGCCATTTACTTAATCCTGTAAATATTTTATGTCAATCAAATAAAACAAAATATCTGAATTGCTTTAAACCTTTTATTTATATTCATATTCGGGAAAGACTTTGACTTATATGTTTCAAAAAGGTGTCACATTACATTACATCATGTTGCATACCAATGAAAGCTTTTAGGCTATGTTACTGTTTACTATTATCATTGCTATAGTCGCAAACTGGTTTTCTTTAATTATTAACGATATGATTGGGTGCTTAGTTCTCAACGATGGCTTTTGTATGGCTGATATAAATAATAATAATAATAATAATAATAATAATAATAATAATAATAATAATAATAAAAGAATAAAAATAAAAAAATAAAATATACATATGTTGTACTCCAGATTGGAATTGTCCCAATTCAGAATCAGGACAGCTTCGGATGTGAATTTTGTAACTTTGGCCAGCATAATGCTAACTAAAAACCAAAAATTTTTATTCTAACTCTAAAGTTCTAATTCTGTCAAAATAGTGTGTAAAATTCCCATCCGGGTAACCCGATTTTGAGTCTGGACGATTCCAATTTGGAGATATATATATACAGATACATATATATTTATTTTATATTTATAGTAAAGTACTGGCTTATTCGCATCTCAAAATTTATTAATCGCTTAAAGTATGTCAACTACATCAAAGGATAATTTAACAGAAATAATAAATCAGAAAAATGGCGTTATTGAAGATAATGGTATTCTTCGTGGGCAAGGCCGTCAAAATATTGGCGCACTCCTTACCCCTATATATTTCTTTGTAGGAATACCTATTGGTATACTTGCAGCTTTTAAATTAGGATATGGATTACGAGGTCTTTGGATTGGAGAGATGACATGTTCATTTATAGTTTGCATTATTCTTATTATTATGTGTAGAACTGATTGGCAACGACAACTGGAGAAATGTAAAAGACGAATGAAAGAAGACAAGGATAGATTTGAATCTATAATTAGCAATGGCCCTAATTTTTAATGTTAGCTTAATTCTGAATTTTTATACATGTGACTAGTATTAGCACTAGCAAAATTAATATTTCCATTCAATATGTCTATTTCAAGTTTTACAAACCCTTTTTTTTAATTAATCCGATAATAGATAAATTTTGATTAGTTTTTGTCGGGGATGATGCTGAAATTCACGTGATCACATGATGATCTCCGCTATTATTTAGTAAAAAATAAAAATTATATTATAACTAGATTTAGTGTTTAGTAAATCTACTTTCGGTACTAACAAAAGTTGTTCTTTAGATTGAGACGATTCCAATGATAGTAAAATCATCAAAAACGACCTGCTAGATCGTCTGCAATAGTTCTTCAAAGTTT